CACTATGTAACTTTTTCTGTGTTCAAAATTTGCAAAATGTATATAATGAGCGAGTACATCATGAATTCATCTTCCAAACCGCGTGTTTGTCTTATTCCGAATCACTACGGTACACTTATAATAAGTACTTATATTTGGACGGGTCGTCGCCGCTGCGGAGTAACACATTCCAGCGTGAATCGCCGTAGACATAAACTTAGAGAAGTAGCTCCGGTTGGAATGTTCTTCCGCGGGATGTGTGCAGTCTGTTTATTAACCGCTAGAGCGCCAAAAGTTACATAGTGCTGCTTTAAATATATTTAAACTGGAAATAAGAAAAAAAATAGCACTATTTTTCCTTACCTTTACTACATATGCCTGTGTGTCAGTATGGTGGTACATAATTTCTAAACAAAAGTTAGTTGAGTTTTGTTTCTTGTTTCACTGTTGACAGGATAATGAAATTCCATGTGGCCAAGAAGAAGTTTAAGGAGACTCTTCGACCATATGATGTGAAAGATGTGATCGAGCAATACTCTGCTGGCCACCTGGATATGTTATGCCGTATCAAGAGTCTCCAGACTAGGTGAGATTAACCAGCTCTGGTTGTGTGGTGAAAACTTGAACATGTGACTGAAAGCTATAAATTCATTCATAATTTCTCCGTTCATAGTTTTACTTTTTTGGGGGGGATTCTGCATAAATTGTCACACGCCAATACACATTAACAAATGCAGTTAGCACAAATACATATTCACAGAAAGCTGTACAAGAAAAAAGTTAAACAACCTTGTTTTCTTATGCACACTTTCTACATCTACATGTCCATGTCTGTCTTATCTCCCTGTCTGCGCTCTCCCATTCAGGTTGGACACCATTGTGGGTCCACAGACCCTGAGCAGCAAAGCCAAGACCTTTTCTTCTCCTTCCCTGCACTTGTATTACAGCCAGACCAAGAGGAAACACTCTGCCCCAGGGTCAGCTGACCCACAATCCCTCACCCCAAACTCTTTTAACTCTGGAACAAATGAGTCAATTGCTGAGGCTGTGTGTCTAAATCCCCAGTGGACATCAACATTACAGCAGTTCAGTTTAATACTTCATATAAACACTGCACAAAAATAAAAAAAAATCCTTAAATCAAGATAAATTGTGTAAGATACTAAAACTTGTTTTCAGAGAATATATGTTTATTTTTATATTCGTAACTTGTTGAAACGTAAACATTATTACATTTTGTTAGATTTATGTTTATAAAACAATTTGTCTGTGAGACAGAAATACAAAAGAATATTCATAATTCAAGATATATTATCTGAAGTAATTATGCAGTCTTATCTAAGGATGTTTTAGAGGTGTTTAATGCAAAACAAGACAAAAATACTGAATAAGAAACTACTGTTTAAAAGTTTGGCATCAGTTAGATTTTCTAAAAATTAAAAATTAAAAAAAAAGAATAAATAAACTTTTATTCAGCAAGGAGTAATGTTACAGAAAATTTCTTTTTCAAACTGGATTACACAAAAATATTAGGCAGCACAATAATAAGAAATGTTTCTTGAGTTGATCATTTTTTAAGGATTATTTGACACTAAAGCCTGGAGTAATAGCTGCTGAAAATTCTGCTTTGCCATTAAAGGAATAAGTTACATTTTAAATATATATTTAAATAGAAATAGAAAAAGAGTTATTTTAAATTGTAATAATATTTTACAGTATTACTGTTTTTATGGTATTTTTATGATCAAGTAAATGTAGCTTGGGTAAGCATAAAATATATATTTTAAACACATAAAACTATCTTACCCACCCCAAACTTTGAACTGTAGTGTAGATTATTATTATTTATTTTATTATTTATTTATAGATAGATAGATAGTTTTTACAATATGTATTTTTGCAGTCAAGGCTGGACATGTTTGTGATGTGTCAGTGACCCAAAGCCTCAAGCTGTTGGCTCTGTTCAGTAAATCCTTGATCTCTCAGATTTTCATTCATATAAAACTTTCTTCCTGTTTAACAAGGTTGGCCAATGCTAAACCAGCAGTGCATGGTGTTAGACTGAATGTGTCTGTGTATAGTACTAACCTTTAGATTAATTCCTCTAGGCTTTCCCTATTATTTGGGTCTATGTGCTTGATTTTGGCATGGAATCAAAAAGTAGCATATTAAAATATTGTTATTCTTTAATATTGTGAACCAACAGGTGTGCAATCAATAGTTGTTTGCTAGCTCGGATTTAAACAATCATCTTTTACTTACATTTACTTAAATATCAGATACCTCAGTGACTGACTTTGAAACACTAACTTTGAAGCAGCTGTTAAGAATTTAAATTAGATTACTGAGACCTATGGTTTGATCATTAACATGATTTAGTAAATCGCATGTAGTAGTAGTATCTTGTCATGGTGCCATAAGTACCTTCTGTTCAACCTTCTCTTTCCTCCCTTTCCTTGATGGCAGAACCTTAAAAATGTACTTGACTCCCGTATGTTTTCTCATCTAGACTCGCCACAGCTGTGGGTCCACATCAGACACTCAGCACCAAAGCCAGGAACCTTTCCTCTCCCTCTCTACACATGTATTACAGCCAAAGCAAGAAGAAGCACACTGGGTCAGAGGCCTGTAGCAGGCTGGGGGACTAGTCATGGGGCCTTACTTACCTCAATCACTTCATACTGTGAACGGGGTCCAATGGTGATGATGTATTTGAATAAAACTATTCATAGGGTTTATTTGCCATATGTTATCAGAACTGAAACTACCTACACATCCATTCACCTAGTAAACAGAATACAAAATCAGTATCTGCAATGAATCTAAATGGCAGTGGTTCTGTTTTGACTCCAAGGCCCCATACTTTACTAGATAAGGATTTTGAAAATATTTTTACTCACACGTTTACTCACGTTTTCAAGACCATGGGAATCTAGGTTCTTCTTCTTCTTCAAAAAATAAAAATAAAATAAAATGTTGTTGAGGGGCTGTAGTATAATAAGTAATGTCTTGGCTTTTAGTCATTTTAATGCTTTCGTCATTTGGAAGTTTGCTGAGGCCCCTTTGAGAGCCACTGATTATTTATTATTGAGAACCACTTGTTTTATTATCGTCATCATTGGACTCCAAGGTGATTAATAAATAGTGATTTTTTTTTTTCAACCAAGGAGATGATTTATTAATTGTGTAGTGCACACTCTGATTGGTTCAGCTGATTGATGTTGGTTTCATACACTACATCTACCTGAAAATGTATGTTACTACATTATGCTAAAAATCTTGCTCATTAGGGGTTTCTCTGCAGCATGGTTTATCATTTTGGACTTGATATTTTAATCAGCTAGCATAGATCAGATACAGCCAACTCGTACATAGAGCAAGTAATATTCATAATGTAAAAAATAGTGCAACTCTCAGTTGCACTGAATGTAGTTGTAACATTTACAGAAATACTGTATATCACCTCTTTCTTACTCTGTAACATAGAAAAAGTAGATGATGGTGATGCACTAACTTCATTTCTTCTTCACTAACCAAAGTCCAGTCTTATCCTGCTGTGTTGTACCCTGCTCGAGCTTGAGGAACAACAGAGTAAAGGTGTGCATCCTGATGTACTGTATGCTCAAAAACATTGTTTTTTTTTTTTCTTATAGAGTGGATCAGATACTGGGAAAGGGCCAGATTTCGGTGGACAGGAAAGGCAGGGAGAAAATCCTCCCCGAAGGAGAGTCCTTGGAGCATGACATGAGCATGCTTGGCCGTGTCTGTAAAGTAGAGAGACAAGTAAGCTATATGAACTTGATGGTCTAAAGAAACATACTACAGTTCAAAGTGTTGGGGTCAGTATGATTTTATTTTTTTTTTAGAAAGAAATTAATTATTTTATTCAGCAAGGATGCATTAAAATGAAAGTAATAGTTAAATTATTTATAATTTCTAAAAGAGGTTGTATGCTGTTTACTTTCTAATCGTCAAAGAATCCTGAGAAAAATGTATCACAGTTTCCACAAAAATATTAAGTAGCACTTCTGTTTTCAGAATTGATAAAAATAGGAAATGTTTCATGAACACCAAATCAGCATATTAGAATGATTTCTGAGGGATCGGATCATGTGATGCTAAAGACTGGAGTAATGGCTGCTGAAAATTCATCTTTGGCACCATAGGAATGAATTACATTTTCAAAAATATATTATTTAAATTTTAAATTGTTTATTTTAAATTGTTATAATATTTCACAATATTATTGTTTTTACTGTACTTATAATCAAATAAATGCATCCTTGGTGAGTATAAGAGACTTTTTTCAAAAACATAAAAATCCTACCAACCCCAAACTTTTTGACTGTAGTGTACTTGCACACTTTTACAATAATTAAGCATAAAATTATAATATATATATATATATATCCAATGTGATGTTTTATTTCTTATATAATCCAGGTACAGTCCATTGAGTCAAAGCTGGACTCATTGCTGGATATATACCGGCAAGTGTTGCAGAAAGGCTCCTCTTCAATGCTTGGTCTGTCTGCTTTTCCCCTGTTTGAGCTGGATCAAACCTCCGACTACCAAAGCTCCATCCATAGCAAGGATTTGTCATCCTCCTCCCAGCTTACTGGCAGTGGCATATCTCGTTCGGGCAGCAGTAACCTGCACCGTGGTCTTCATCTTGCTCTGGCCCCCAGTGAACTCAGCTTGGGTACAGGTTACCCACATTCTGCCTCCTCCTTCTCACCTTCTCCTCTCCTTAACAACCAACCCTCCAGCCCAGACAGTTTCTACCCAGCGTCCCCACCTCCCATTCTCACCCCCAACAACCTTTCCAGAAGTCACCAGCGGTTAAGTGAGCTGACAAGGCCGGTCCCAACAGTCCATTCAACCTCCTCGACCCTTCAGCTCCCGCCTATGGTACCAACGCCTCAAAGTCGGCCTACCAGCCTTATCCCAGAGACACTGCAGGAGAGCCTAGCCGAGTGTCCGAGCAATTGCCTGTTGAGTACCCAAACCGAGGCTGAGTCAGACAGGGAAGCCGAGAGTTCAGTGAGACGCCCAGGCCGGTCCCAACAGCCCATTCAACCTCATCGACCCTTCAGCTCCCGCCTATGGTACCAACGCCTCAAAGTCGGCCTACCAGCCTTATCCCAGAGACACTGCAGGAGAGCCTAGCCGAGTGTCCGAGCAATTGCCTGTTGAGTACCCAAACCGAGGCTGAGTCAGACAGGGAAGCCGAGAGTATTCAAAGCATGGTACAGCTACGGGACAAGCCCGAACGTAATCCCAAGGAAGATGGGTCATGGAGAAGACACTTGAGCCTTGACATTGATCCTCTGATGCTCGTGTCTTCCACAACAGCTGCCTCGCTTCAGGTCGAGCGTAGGCTCGGTAAGTCTCTTTCCGCTCAGAACCTCATGCTACCAACTGCTGCGGACTGCCATCCCAGCCTGTCCACTCGGAGCAGCGGCAGCAGCAACAATGAGTCCAGCGACCACGAGCCGCTGGCCGACTGGGGCGATACGGAGCTGTTCATCAATGACAAAGAATTGGACACCACGGAGGGTGACCGTTACCACCTCCACCAACAAAGCACCGATACGACCTTCTCTTCTGAGCTGCTACGGACAGGAGCCAGTGGGCCATCTCTCAGCCAGGCTGGACCAAGAGATGGTCTTGAGTCCCATAACTTGCCTCACGTATGCCTCGAATAACCCCCGGAGCACAGGAACCTCACTGTGGAGACTGGACACAACCTCATGTCCCTCATGTGCTTCTTTTCCAAAGGAAATGGAGCGTCCTGTACGCTCTGTATGTTTTCTAATTTTCGCAAGAAAAAGACATGCTGTTCATACGTTTATGTTCATTCGTACATATCAATGCATGGACAATTTGTCAGAAAAGAGAATTTATATTAGCAAGAAACTGTTGGGGAAGAAACATTTACAAAAATATTCCGGGTTCAATGTAAGTTAAGCTCAATCAACAGATTTGTGACATAATACTGATTACCTCAGTAATCACCATAAATGACTGAACAGTGTGTGAAAGAATGTAACCATATGAAGGAAGATTATAATTTTATAAGCTTACATTTCTGCTTTCAAATAGTCCAGAAACTGTCCCCATTTATTTTCATTGTGAGTTCGTCACCCTAACCCATATACTTTATATGCATTTAGAAAATAGAAAACGAGGGACAAGTTGAAATTATTGTTTTTTGTGTGTGTGTGTTAATCAATATTATGCCCCAAATGCTGTCGGTTGAGCAGAACTTGTATTGAACCCATAATATTCCTTTAAAACAATGAAGGGTTATGGTACTGAATGAGCACTTCTTTCAGTCTTGCATGGGATCGGCATGTTTAAAATGCAACAGCAAATAGAATTGGAAGTGTGTATTCACCTGTAGTGATAAGCCCTCGCTCAGCATTAGGATTCATTTCTCACTTCCTTTTGAATGTTTGGCGGTCCACTTATTTGCATGTGTTAAGAAATTGTGGGGGGAATAGCAGAAAACCAGATGGTCTTGGTCCAAAACCACATTAATCTGTGATACTATGCAAACTTCAGCCGATCAAGCAGGGTTTGCAAGCAACTCCGGAAGAAACTCAGAAACAAATGCATCTTCACGCTGTAGCCTACACAGAGATATGCTTTCTTAATTTGACTATGTCCTTTAAAACCTGAGAGTCTTAGCATTTGAAGAAAGCTGAATGCTGTTACTAAAGGGATGGTATGGTGTGTTTAGGTGTAATGTCTTGTGAAGAGGTATTTGTGACAATCAGGCTTTTTGAAAAGCACTGATTTCTGATTTTTCTAATTCCGAGTCCTCATGTGGATATTTGGCTGCTAAAATGTAAAAAAAAAAAAAATGAGGAAGATAATATATAATTTTCATCATGACAATAAATCACACTTGCAATATCATAACTAATGATTGTTCTTCTCCTCATCTACATTTTGCAAGGTTTAGATTATGTGAGGTAAAAGCAAACAATCTATCCATCTTATTTAGCAGATGCACTGCATCAGTTACTATGGGGTGGCTTTAATTACAGTTTTCTGTAAATAATATTAAAAAAACGGCATCATTTAGGCTAAAGTAACATGTTTTATTGTTCATCTCGTGTACAAAAAATTTTTTTTTTCAAAAAAAACAAAACAAAACAAAACGACGCCATCCACAAAAATACCACTGTTACAACAAAAAAATGGTAACTTAATTTAGAAATAGTCGCCACCGTCAAAAAATAAATATATAAAATAAATAAAAGTAATAATAATCAAAATCACAAAAAGATTCAAAAAGGTCCCATATTAATTCGTTATTGTTTTCACAGCAGTAAATTGCGGTTGCCATGTTGCATTTTAGTAAGGGATCACGTGAGCGGATATTGATCGAAGTTTCTGATCAGAGATTTGTGGTCGTTCGGGAGTGAAGTGTCGATTAATTAAATTTGTGCTCTTATATGTTTGTTTTAAATGTTGGACTGGGAAGATGAGTTCTATGCGGATGGTGTGGCGATTTCAAAGCCGTTACCCGTTCAAACTGTAACGTTACCGGTGAAGTCATGGAGGCCTCAGTCTAGAGGCGCGCGGAGTCGAGAAACCACGAGTGTCGGCGCAAAGTTTGGTGAAGACGGTGAGCAGTGGAGAAACTGGAGGGACCGCGACTCTCAATCAAAAGTCTGTGATGGAGCAACCGGTAAAAATAACAGTTACAGTCGTTCCGGGACTGGACCTACAGGGTGTCGCGGTGGTGGAGACAGATCAGGTTCATCACCGGTAACTCTGAATGTGGAAAACTCTTTGGTCGGGAGGATAATAGGTAAGACACACGGCGGTAAAGTTAGTTTGACGTTTGACATTCATTAGACATAAGTTTTTTTTGCCAATTGAACTCTTTGCGTCTGTTATGTTTTGAGTCCAAACTAACTCAGACAGACATAAATATGCCCTTTACGTTGCACAAGGCTTAATTTCTAGGGGGGGAAAATGTAAAAAATTAACCATTTAAATTAATTAAACAATGTAACTACGTGACATTATAATATAAAACTAATACTAAAATGTTCGGAAAAACATCCCTGTTATTGCACAAAGCTCCGTTTTTGGAATGACCATTGTATGTGTTTTATAATAATTGTACAACTTTTAATGTAGGCAATAATATAAATCCATTAAACGACAACACCATTTGATCTAAAAGTATCAAACCAACTGTAAAATATTCAGAATATTATTCCCTATAATGCACAAGGCTTGGTTTTTCAGATTATGCGAGAATGTGAGAAAGTCCCGCCTCGAACGCATCGGCCAAACAGAAAAACTTATCGGCCGATGCCGATATTTGAAAAATGCCGATATATCGGCCTTGGCGATATATTGGTCGACCACTAATTACAATAGTCCAGTCTGGAGAGAACGAGAGCTTGGACAAGGAGTTGTGTGGCCTGCTCTGATAGAAAGGGTCTAATCTTCCTAACTAAAGCTTAAAGGAACACTTCACTATTTTTGAAAATAGGCTCATTTTCCAACTCCCCTAGAGTTAAACAGTTGAGTTTTACCGTTTTTGAATCCATTCAGCCGATCTCCGGGTTTGGCGGTAGCACTTTTAGCTGTAGCTTAGCATAGATCATTGAATCTGATTAGACCATTAGCATTTCGCTCAAAAATGACCAAAGAGTTTCGATATTTTTCCTATTTAAAACGTGACTCTTCTGTAGTTACATCGTGTACTAAGACCGACGGAAAATGACGGAAATCTCATTCCGGCGTAATAATCAAGGAACTTTGCTGCCGTACCGTGGGTACGGCAGCAAAGTTCCTTGATTATTACGCTGGAATGAGAGTATAGTTCCTAGCCATATCGGCCTAGAAAATCACAACTTTTCATTTTCCGTCGGTCTTAGTACACAATGTAACTACAGAAGAGTCAAGTTTTAAATAGGAAAAATATCGAGAAACTTTGGTCATTTTTGAGCGAGATGCTAATGGTCTAATCAGATTCAATGATTTATGCTAAGCTGCAGCTAAAAGTGCTACGCCAGACCCGAACATCGGGTGAATGGATTCTAAAACAGTAAAACTCAACGGTTTAACAATAGGGGAGTTGGAAAATGAGCCTATTTTCAAAAATAGTGGAGTGTTCCTTTAAGTTAGATTCCAGTTGTAGCCGTCACACCTTGAGCAGCCTAAAACTGTTTGGACTTGTTGAAATGCAAGGCATAGTCCATTTAAAATAAGTTTCATAATTTATTCACTCATTTCTTTCTAAACCCATATTACACACTTCCTTCTTTGGAAAAAAGTTAATTTTTAAAATGTTTGTACTGAACAGGCACAGTTCCTTTTCGAGTTAAGTCACGTTTATTTTTTATAGTGCTTACAATAACATTGTTTCAAAGCAGCTGAATTCATCAATTATAAAACAACTGAAATGTTAGCTGTAAAGCAGCTCTACACAAGACATTGTCATTATTCAGCTCAACTCAGATTCTGTGTTGATTCAGTTCAGTAACTCTGTGTTGCAAAGTTCTATAGACCTTAGGCTAGTGCCATATTTAATTTATGACAGGAATGAAAATGAGGCTGTGAGGAATAGAAGTATTACAGAAGTACAGTGCATTCAGTGGATTTTACTGTTGTTTAACAACATATCGATTGTTCAGCTGACGAAACGTCTTTCTGAAAAAAAAATTGGTAGAAATTCCATAAAACTGCTTTGAAAGTTGTGAACTGTGTAAATTACAGGATCTAGGTGTCTTAACATGATGAAGGTCTATAAAAGGCAATCGTTTCATCACATCTCTTTTCAGTTCAGTAACAGTGTCAAATTCAATCTAAGGGCAGTTGTGGCTTAACGGTTAAATTGTCGGACTTGTAACCCGAAGGTTGCAGGTTCGATTCTCAGTACCGACAGGAATTGTAGGTGGGGCCAGTGAATGAACAGCGCTCTCTTCCACCCTCATTACCCATGATTACCGAGCAAGGCAATGAACTGCCAATCCCTATACAGCAAATGGCTGTGTTCACTACTCACTGCTGTGTGTTTGCACTTGGATGGGCGAAATGCAGAGCACAAATTCCGAGTATGGGACACTATACTTGACTACACGTCACATCACTATAAATTCACTTCAGGTTTTTGTTTTCATCGGATAGTTTCAGTAATACAGTCAGATCGATAATAACTGCCTTTTACTTTTATTCTAAGGAGGACATTCTTCAAAATTCACCTTTTGTGTTCAGAAAATAATAAGGCATATGGGTTTAGAACAACACAAATGAGCAAGAGACAGTTTTCTTTTAAATGGCATTTAACACATGACTGTTTAAATGATGTATGATAGATAAACCGTGGTGCACATGAAGCTGACGTTCTTATCTTTGGAAGCCGTGATGCTCAGCTCAAAGCCAAAGACATGATTGAAGATCTGGTGCATGGGAATTCTGTCCTGGATGTGGAAGTGGTAAGAGAGTACAGGAATCACTAAGATACTGTAATGTATTTTATTGCATTGTTAATTACTGGTATTTTAGGTTTGACATTTTACATTTAATTCTCCAGGTAACAGCGATGCAGATATCAGAATGACTCCTGCTGGCCAGCTGCTGCTGTACGAGCTGCAGCTTCAACTGCCCCGACTCCTGTACCTATTGACTGGTCTGCGCTTAGAGAAAACCGGGACAAATATGAAGCTAGTAAATGGCAAGGTGAGTCTCTAGTGGCACAAGATGATGTGATCATTACTTTAGATTTGTTTTTTATCATTTACTTAGCCTCCTGTTGTTTCAAACATATATGACTTTCTTCTGTGTATTTACACTTTACAGTACACACTTTTAAGGCTAAAATTAAAACTAGAGTAAGGAATTTAGTTGACATACTGTGTGAAATAAATAGTCAGATATAAAATACTATAAGTACTATACCTAATTAAACAATCTTAGTTTCTGCAGATCTTCCCCCTCTCAAGAAGGATTTCTATATTGAAGCAAAATCAGTGGCTGTTCGCAGTGCTGAAGAAGTCCAAATCTGGAGGTAAAAGTCGTAAATTGCCTTCTTGATATTAGCCCACAGATGGCAGCATTTATCTTTTAATAACTACTTCTGAATGCTCTGAGATGAATATACTATGGCCTGTTTGGGTATAATCCTAGTGCTAGTATTTAAGGCTTTGAATGTGTATTTTTCATGTAATATTATTTTAGTTTAAGTGAGAGAAACAATGTGCAAAGTGCATTGTCAATGTCTTTTGTGTGTTGTTTGACATGCATTGTTTTTTTTGCCTCTTATATTGTCTTTTTGTTCCAATTCTAATTATAAGAAGCCATTTTTGCTCTGAATCTCTACTCTTTTCACTGCTAGACCTCCATTGTCAACAACAATATTCAAAGCCCTAGTTTTGTTTAATTTTAACCTGTGGTCACTCCTACTTTCTTAAAAAAGTTAAAAAAGTAACTAAAATACTAATTAAAATTCAAACAAATTCCAATTTTAATGTTAAGATTTTGTTATTTTACATGACTTTTCCAAGTCAGGAAATCACACACAAATTAGACTACCTCATATATCCAGTTTTTCCAAACCTGCAACACTGAGTATATTTGTATTGCTTTTGTACCCCTGCTTTTCTCTGCCCAAACAGAAAAGAGAACAACAACATCTTTGTGGATGATTTGAAAGATGGGGAGAAAATAACTATTCCCAATCCAGTGTGCACTTTTGAGGAGGTTTTTTGCTCATTATCCTGGAATAATGGAAAATATTGTCAGAGTGGGATTTAAAAAGCCAACTCCCATTCAGGTACTCCAAAGAAACTTTTCCTTCATGTGTTTGCTTGTACTTTTTTCCCCACTGAATGTTA